GTCATTTCTTGTTGACGTCGTCTAGGTGGGATTGAATGTAGGTCTGCACATGACTGGTTAATCCTGAAAACGCTAAATTAACAGGAAACGAAAACCACATTTTTTCAACCACTGTGCACCTGCTGCCACGTGATGTTGCCCAGTTCATCACTTTCATACGCGTGACACATGACAGAATATAGACCTTTCTAGGGGCACTGATACACACTCTCTGCCTCATTGATTTTGCCCTTGGAGCATATCAGCATCACGGCAGTAGTCCTCATCTTAACAGCGTTGATTGGGTTTAAATGATTTACTCCAACGGGGACGCCAGAATTTGCAATGCCTACTCGAAAACGCCAATTTCGCATGCATGCTGCGGTTAATGAGTACATGACCAAATCCAAATTTGTCGCTTCAGCCCTCTGTTGAATTCCCAATGACATCTTCAAGTGCGCAGCTTTAAAAATCCATTCATAGGTCGCATCCACAATTTTGCATCCGGATGTGTGTTCACTACACCAGACGTGCTTACTTGCAACCATGGTGGGTAAGCATCATGGTTCACATCGTGCAAGCTACAGTACACAGTGACGTTTAATGGGTTTTCGTAAATTGTGTGTGCTGGGGGTAGCTGTGCAGTTGGCTTCATCAAGCGTATGGATTTAGGTGCCATTTATCGGTGAATACTATGCTACAGACATTAAAAACTCTCTGTTAGGCGCCACTCCTACCGTAACATAACTGACTCCGTTGGGAGTAGATCTGGGCTCGTGGAAACATCCACCACATTATGATTGCCAACTAGCTGAGGTTCAAACATCCACCACAAGTGATCCGATCACGTGCAGTTGCGTGTGGAAGTACGCCATCGACAGAAATCAAGTGCCTTTAAACTCTTGACGAATGAGGCCAGTGTGAATGAGCCGTGCACTTTGAGTTCAACGTGTTTGGCGAGCTGCGCTTCACTATGAACTCACCTCGATGATACTTGAGAGTGCAAGCTGCTTAGAAATCACAAGGTCCCCTGGTTGACATCGAAATTGGTGGTACAGCGTGACACGAAGCCACTGAATGAACGCATACACTGATGGGGTATAAAAGCGGATGACAATGGTCTCACAGATCACCGTTCCAGGATGAAGTCGCTCCTTCTGTGTCTACTTCTTGCTCTCGTCTGCCTGTTGGCTGTGAATTCAGCTACGGCCAGCATGATGCGTAGGCAAGTACCGCTGCCGAGTGACATCGATGAAAACGATGAAGGCATGATGATTGATGACGATGAGTATAAGAAGGCGAAATCGGAAATAAAGAGAAGATTAATGGAGATTATCAGGAGAAGGAATAATGGACAGAAGATGAGACGTCGCCGTGGAGATAAAGTGCAAAATCAGTCGGACGAATTGAATAAGAAGATATATTGGGGACATCGCTAATTCGAACTGAAAGCAGCTAATCCATCCTTATTCTCCATTTCATTAATAACCGCTCACTACATTTAAAATAAATTAGTGTTTTGTTAAATGCTTGCCTCTTGGTGGTTCATTGGCGTTACAGGGATTGTGTGGAAAGGTGGGGTTGCGAATTAGCGCTTGGCGTTGTTTTCATGACGTTGGTTTTCATGATGGGCAACTCATTGCATTCACTTTAGCATTAGCACACTGAGCATTAGCACATTGTGTGTGATGATAGTGGCGATGGAGGCATAGTTGACGATGAAAATAAACAAGATGTAAAGAATGAGGATGCTAAAGTCAAGTAATGTGGAGATGGTGACGAGATGAAGCACGCCGTGGGTAAATCACTGCACGATGCGACTGACGACTGCGGTACTTCTTCTGGCGTAGAGGATGAAGAAGCAGCACATGCTAATATTGACGATGACGATGAAATTGGAAGAGAAGGAGTAACAAAATATGCAAGGGATGATGGTGGTGACAATGACCCTCGATTTAACATGCCTCACATTGACACCGAATTGACCACAGTCGGTTGGGCAGATCGACTGCAAAACGCGGATTGCCTAGTAACCTCGATCAGTTAAAAAGCAACTTGTAGGTAAACACGTATTTTGGCCTGCCGTATACATTCGTTTGAGAAGGCGCACGTTAACACATTCTGCTAATCCAGCTTCAAAATCACACTGACACCGGTCACAATTGGTTTTGTTGCGGGCCCAAGCATGTGTTCTTGAAAAACGCCGGGACCACTGAGTTGAAGGGGTAGGAGTAGTAAAGTGAGAAAGCTGCTAGCGTGGAGGTGATTGGGTGGAATCCAAGATGACTGTTGATGTGCAGCATCCAGAAGGAGCGCTGTGTGTGTTGGGCAATTAACGATGCGCACTGTTAACGAACTTCTACCAGGTGGCCGAGCTAGACTTTAAGAGAGGTGCCTTGAACATCTCACGCGACGCATAGCTCAGTCGATATTGGCCTCCAAGCATATTTTTTTCATGCAAACAAACATTACATGTGGACCAGGCAATAATAATAACCAGCAATCGCTTTCGTTGCTAGAATAACTAAACTGACAACTAATATAGAAGCTCGATATTGAAAATGCTGCTCATCAGCATGTAGCAGCTTGATATTAGCACTACCTTATAACCCTCTAATTAACACACTAAGACAACTTGAGTAGAGTGGAAAAGGGGCGAGAGCGGACACGCCTTGTTTATTGATGTCAAAATAACCGAGTGGCTTCGTGTGCGCTTGAGTACGCGCGCGTAACTGGCAAATGCTAAAAGAGGCCAACAACAAAAGGGGGTGAGTCATTGGTACACACAGGCCGTCATGCATGCACACTCACGCGGGGTGGCTGTCAGTCCACTACAAATATTCTCCCCCTCTCCCCGAGAGTGTTAGCTGTGAATCACTAAACGCTCGAAAATTATCGAACGGAATCAACAAAGTGGACAACTGGTCTCAGGAGTCGGCTAAAACGGGAGGTTGGGCAGGGTGGGGATACGGGAGATTGTAGGGGGAGTTCGTCGTTGCTTAAGCATGTGGAAGGAACATCGGTGTCTTCCGTATGAGCAGCTTTGAGACGGTCTACGCTCACTGTATCCAGCGAACCAATTTGTCAATTACGAAAAATTTGTCGGCGCGTTCTACCACTTTAAAGAGGCCATCATATGGTGGTTGCAAGGGTTTTTTAACGCCATCAACGCGGACAAATACATAAAGAGAAGTAAGCAAACTTGGTTGCATCCGTGCTTGTCTTAAGGACATTCTTGTCGGGGTTGGTCGAATTTCCTTCATGTAGTACTTCAATTGATCGACATAAGATGAAGATGGGAACTCAGTAGTGTGGTCAGAGTTGGTGACCATTTCACCAGGCAGACGCAAAGTCATTACCTCACTAGACATCCCAACGTTCCTGTTTGCTAAGTGGCATTTCACTGTAGCGTAGCGCCGTCAGGAGGAAAGCTAATGCAATTTTGATTGACAAAGTGTGCACATTTTGCAC